TTGTGTAAGAGGCGCGAAAATGGTGCGCACAAGGCCGCCCAGTCATCAAAACATTACCGAGTTCTTTACCCGCCACCCACCACAACCGGCCCAAGTCAGTGATAGTGATAATTATAGTGAGGATATGGACTTATATGGACTTTGAGGGGTTTAACAAAGAGGCCCTGCAAGCCTCTGTGGTGGATAGTGATACAATTGATACCAGTGATACAGGTGAGGGCCAATAATCTGCCCCCTGCTTCGGAACCAACCCCCCATCCCCGTGTGCCCAGCCATCTTTTCTACTAATGTAAGTGTTAAAAAACCTAATATTATTTATATTTCTCTTAATTATTAATTGTGTGTGCATGCCATCATAAAGTTAAGATAATATTTTTACTACAACATAGTTGTGTGTCGTCAAAAAGTGGAGTTTGGGGATCGGCCTGGACTCCATTTCAATTAATCCCATATGTTATGTTGTTCACTTTACGCGTTCCTCACTTTCCGCGGTACCCTCCGGGTTACATTAACCGCGTAATGTGAGACCCAACTGCGCACGCACGCACGCACACACACAGAGTAGTACCCCGCTCAACAGGGTCAATAAAACCCACAGGGTACCGTGTTAAGTGAAAACCGCGCTAAGTGAACAACAGAACATATGGGATTAATTCCAATAGAAACTGGCCCGACCCCCAAACTCCACTTTTTCCGACACAATACCTATGTTCTAGTAAAAATAACATCTTAATTTTATGATGGTACATGCACACAATTAATACTTAAGAGAAATAGAGAAATACAGTCGCCAAGTTAATGTCCATTCAAATAATGGACTCAACTCCCACCCCCTCTTCTCACACTACACTGCTGGCTCTTCCCTCTCTGAGAAATTTTGTGGGGAAAATCACTAAATTTTAATAAATAATACCTCAAACTAAAGTTAGGATAATACAATTGACATTGCTGGATTCCTTGTAAGACCAGGAATATTTTGAATATAAATGTCATATATTTTGCACAAAAGATAACATATTTACTCAGAGTAAACATTATATCTAAAATTTGTATATCTAATGCAAAATCTATGATGTTTATATTCAAAATGATCACCAAATTGTAAGAATTCCAGCAATGTAAATTATATTCTGGCCGGGTAATTTGTATGAATTTTATGAGCTGAAACAAATATCTTCAGTTAATAAAAAAAAAAATATTCTTCACGACACTATCTGTCAATCAAAGTACCCCACCATGCCTCCCCCCACTTCCAACCGCGCGGTCCGTCCCAACCCAACCCCCCAAACAAATCCTCCCTTCAAGAGATGTTTGGTGAAAAAACTAAATTTTGACATTTAGTATTAAAGTTAGGATAATATAATTGACATTGCTGGATTCCTTGTAAGACCAGGAATATTTTGAATATAAATGTCATATATTTTGCACAAAAGATAACATATTTACTCAGAGTAAACATTACATCTAAAAATTGTATGTCTAATGCAAAATCTATGATGTTTATATTCAAAATGATCATCAAATTATAAGAATTCCAGCAATGTAAATTATATTCTGACCGGGTAATTTGTATGAATTTTATGAGCTAAAACAAATATCTTCAGTTAATAAAAAAAAAAATATTCTTCACAAGGTAACAGATGGTCGGTCGGTTCCTCCCTACCAGATGTGAGGGAAAACCAGAATATTTACCTTTTTAGTAATAAATAATACCTCAAACTAAAGTTAGGTTAATATAATTGACATTGCTGGATTCCTTGTAAGACCAGGAATATTTTGAATATAAATATCATATATTTTGCACAAAAGATAACATATTTACTCAAGAGTAAACATTATATCTAAAATTTGTATGTCTAATGCAAAATCTATGATGTTTATATTCAAAATGATCATCATATTGTAAGAATTCCAGCAATGTAAATTATATTCTGGCTGGGTAATTTGTATGAATTTTATGAGCTAAAACAGGCAGGCAGGCAGGGTGGGGGGTGGGGCGAATCTAAAAATAGCTCTCAAGCCGGACACTGCGTATATGTGGAAAAAACCCACGTTAAGTGTGAAGTGAAAGTTCGGCTCTGCGAGGCACCGTGTATAGTGAAATCATGGCGCTAAGCGAAACTGTGTTAAGTGGGGTATTACTGTATATATATATATTTGTGTAATAAATGTATGTAGTAAGTATGTACAGTATTCTTTTTCACTCAAATCCTAATGAAACACTTTTGAATTAGAATACTGTAGCTGGTTGAAGTAAGCTTATAAATTAAAGAAAATACTTGCAGTGTGTTTAATATATTACAGTATGTTATAAATAAATAAATAAACAAATAAATCGGTATATCCATTTCGAGTAAATGAAACAATTGTATTCGACACCAACATTAGTTCAAGTTAAATAACAGACTTTTAAGTGAGTCACTAGTGTTTACATACACCAACCTGTAACATTTGATGCCATTACTTGAAGTGAATTGGCCTTATTTTAAAAAACCAAGGATGTGTAAACAGCACTGGTCAATGGGATGGTTGGTAAAGGACTACTGAGTCAGTAAGCTTCCAATGGTAAGTGTCACATTTGGGGTACTGGTCTTATACAGCGAATAGGGCTCAAAAGCTACTTTTTAAATGGAAATTTTGGGGGCTGTCTTATACACCCCTTCGCCTTGTAGGCTGAGATATACGGTATGTACTTTTCAGTGAGCTGGAACCAATTACCCAATATCCCATTGAAACAATGGATTCGGTTAACGAATGACCATCTGGAACGAATTGTGTTCGTTAACCGAGGGACCACTGTATAATGTCACAGACTAAAGTTGGGAAAATATAATTTGCATTGCTAGAATCCTTGCAAGACAGCAAATAATTTGAATATAAACGTCACATATTTTGCACGAGATAAAAATTTTAGCCCTTTGTAATAAAATTAATTAGAACTAAAATTTGTATGTCTAATGCAAACTATAGCATGTTTATATTCAAACTAATCACTATTTTATAAGAATTCCAGCAATGTTAATTATATTCTCCCAGATCAGTTTAGTGACATTTTATAAGAAAAAACTTATAAGTCACTCTTAAGGACAGATAAATAAATGGCACTAGACCTTGGCAACAACTGTCAAACATATCACCTCACCTCCCCATCTTCCCTTCAGCTGATTGCTAGTAAACAGACCATTTCACATCCCATAATTTTAGCTGTGTTGATATATGAGTGTTTGTTTTAGCATAATACAACAAAATACAATGTTTTGTTTATTCTAGATGGGCTGAGGTGCAGCTGGGTAGACTCTCAGTCTTTTTAGTATTTTGTTTCTCTCAAGTACCAAACTAAATTATTACATTGAAACAACACCTCGATTTAGTGCAAATTCGGTTTAAAGCGACCTCTCTTGGAGCGTACCTCATGTTATATCGACGTTCTACTGTAGTACGAGAAACAATTGAGACCCTGCAATTGTGTGTAAATGAGGCAGAAAGGCAGATTAGCAGGGTCTACCATTAGAGAACACCTTATACTTCCAATATCTTCCCAGGCGGTAGTACTTCCCTGTTTGATAGCTGCCTACACCAAAATAATACAACTACTAGTATCTGCACTGTCCTTCTGTGTTCAGTTTTGCCTTTAAACTGATGACAGAGAATGGTCGAGTTAAATTAATCACTATATTGGATGTACAAATGTCTACTTTTTATAGCTATAGAAAAAGGACTTGCCTATTGACCATATAAGCAACATATTTTTTTATGGAATCATGTGTACAGTACAGTGCAGTGCAGTACAGTACAGTACAAAACAATACAGCAATAAAATTTCCTTATCTAAATGAATTGCTTTCATAACAGTACCTGTATTTTAAAGATATGTAACTGACAGTGATTAGCTTTACTTTCATGGATTTTTTTTTTCATTAAATTCTTAGTATTTCTGCCTTCAAACTTTACTTTAACAGAATATAATATTATGACTCATTTCTCTACTACAATTATTAATTTCAATATGCCACCTTAACTATTTCTGTAAAAAATGTAGAATTCTGAAAAATACTTTTATCTAATGCACTAAGATATGTTGGTTTCATCGTAAGTTCTTGTTATTCTGTGAAATTCGTACCGTATGTCAGTCTAGTAAAAAGAAAGAAATACACGCCACTGCTGATTTTTTCCACCACTCAAATTCCTTTAAATAAGTTTTTTTTAAATAACACTCAACACATTTGACGTCGAGTATTACAACAAACTGCAGTTAAGCAATTATTACTCACTCATATGAAATACATTGATAAAATATACATAAGCAAACTCAAGTACTGTACAGGGGACTCCCCAAGTTCACGGATTTTTATTTCGCATTCCTCTATTATTCTCGGATGACACCCTGGATGTACCCAAGAATATCTGTGGGTAGTTTTAAAGTTGCCGGCAATTTTGCTGCTGGGACAGGGAGCCATTCGTTCTAGAGACAGTAATTTCCTTTACCTGTATTGTAAATGTGTGTCTGTGTGTAGACACATACACACAGAACACATACAAATAAATAATAATGGGAAAATGCTCTCACAAATAATCAGACAAATTTATTAAAAATGTGACAGTCTGCCCTCAAGGCCGTGCTTTATTACTTAATTAATAAAGGACGGACTTGAGGGTAGACTCACATTTTTAATAAATTTGTCTCTGATTATTTGTGAGAGTATTTTCCCATTATTATTTATTTGTATGTGTGTGTGTGTGTGTACACACATATATACAATACAGGTAAAAGAAATAATTGTCCTAAGGGCAAACACAGAGGGAATTTATATTTATTTGTACACAACTAAAAATGTACCCTACCCCCCCCTCCCCTCCCAATCCGCAAATGTTATTCGCGGATTGGAGAACCTAACCCCCCACAAATTTAGGGGGCCCCCTGTACAGCCATTCTAAATGCATTATTGTCAATATTAAGCAAAGAACTGCTATCAAAACCTTAAAGTAGTTAAAACAAGAAATACTTATAAGCACTTTAAATGAGTACAGTATCGACATGGATATAAGAGAGATTAAAAAATGCAAGGAAATGATTCAAAGCATATCAAGTATTATACATGGTAGTGTGATAATGACAGAAAAAATTATGCTTTGATATGTAGAGCTAAAAAATAATCATATATGACTCTTCGTCACATTAGGGAATTGCATCAGTACATTATAAGAGTAAATACAATAGTATCCTAACAAAAGGAACTAAAATAATTTTTGCTGTAAATTAATAGTAAACTGAAATTACTCTTACAATAAAAATAAGTTAAACCTATGACTACCTGAGGTATTTTGCTTTGATATAATGAGTATGCTGAGATGAAGCCAAATATTGTATTGTCTCCCAAACAATTCAGTGATGATGAAAAAAATAAATAAAGTAATAAGACAAAATTATGGATGAAGCCATCTGTGCTTGACCACAATGCTAATACTGTACAGTAATTTTAATATCATCAAATATTTGTTTCAATTACTGTACAACCAAATAAAGTGAACCCATACAATCTGCACAACACCACTACTATGTCTTTAGGAATTGTTGATGTTCAAATCTTCACTTGGGGTGTTTTATCACTCGAAATAATAGTTTTTAACCTCGTGTGTGTTAATAATTCTTCTACGCATTCATGACAACATACAATAACAGATCTATGATTAACTTTCTAATTCAGGAACACTAATTCTCTTACTGTACATAGAATTCCTGTACATATGATAACCCGCTACAAGTTGTCACCTTACTTCATGACGTGCCCAGCAAACACTGATAATTAAGCAAAACAATGAGGAGGAAAGAAAACTGCTCTCTCTGACTGGAAAAAGTTCATGTGATCCTGTCAAGATGACTCTGAGGGGTGTACCATTGCTCTACCTGATGCTAAATATTGCAAAGTCCTGAACTTATGTAAATTAAATATCAGGCAATGGAGGAAAATGTTTCTTTGATGTAAGGAGGGCAAGTAGTTCATTGCTTGCTCCATATAATAGCCACAGACCTCTCACCTTTTTCATGTCGTATTAACACATCTAGTTTCTCGGCTAAGCTTATACACTTTTTATTAGCTTTTGAAACAACACTACCATCACTTGCTCTCGTTGAATAGGTATGCAAAAATGCTTTAAGAAACTTCAAAGTTTTCTCCCTGTTCTAGAAGCGTGAAAACAAAAGGCCCGCCAACTGTTGTTTACCACTCATTAGCAGGGCAGCTTCTTTGCGCACGGCGCTCTTCATATTTTTTACAGTAAATTTTTTTTTATAATGCATATCGGGATTTAGTTATTATTTATATGAAAATTTAATTAAATTTTATTTTTATTGTATTTTGGTCGTAAATACGAATGAAATAAGGACGTAAATTGAATTGGGTCCTAAATTAACTTGGGTCTTAAATATGAAAAGTTGTTGGTCGAACCGTTGTTATCGGATGCTTTACTGTATATTGTATTTACATGCACAAAATCATATGTTTTCCCCTAAAAAAACACTTTAAAATCACTGTCAATAATTGTATGACAAAACAAACTAAAAAAAAATCCACAAAATTTCCTTGTAAAATAGGGGTGCGTCTTATATGTGGGCAATTACGGTAACTAAATGTGAAGCATTCAAGGGTTTTAAAGAAACTAATCATTAGTGGGGAGTAATGGATGCATCATATGCTAGATAACTCCTCTTTATTTTTGGGGTAGACAATTAAAGACTACAGTACTGTATTAGGTTAATGAGGTGCCTAACTTAGATGGAACTCTATGAAAAGGAGAAATAATATGAAGCAATAAGGCAGAGTAAAGTTGATATTTTGATGTGTTGAATACTTAGTCCATATAGTAACACTAAAACTACTGTAATATTACCCCTGAATGTATTTTGGATAAAATAACATTTAGTTTGGAGTAAAGCGAACATCTCATATTCTCTAAGAAGCGTTGAAGGGAAATACTATTGTATTATTTAACATATTTAACTGTATCAGTAAAAAACAAATATTTTCATAACGCTAAATGCTATGAACCTTATCAAATTAGTTATTTCCCATGTAGAGAGGTGAAGATACAACATCTCGGCAGACATTGCTGTCGATATCCATCTCAGCATATGTGTAGGTAAGACTTAATAAGTTATCTGTAACACCAGAAGCAGCACCGGGCATGATAATACAGTACTGGATATGATATTGAAATGTGAAAATAGTTATGCCAAAAAATTACCTTGGTAATTCAAGTAAAACCTGAGAATAGTTAGAAAATTTATAAGTAAAAGAAAATAGGAAATTACAAATACTACTATAAATGTATAAACTAAATTAATTCAAAGAAATGTTACCCATCTATTAATCCTACTTTCCTGAGTTAACTTAAATGTTCAGTGTAGGATCCTCTTTTTTCAGACTAACAGCTTCATTTGCTGAGACGCCAACAGAAGAGCCTCTGGTTTACTTGTGCGATAGCTACAAAATAGGAAGAATTTTTGGTTAAACGTGTGAAAAGTCTTAAGGATTATTCAATACTTAAACAAGCAAAGATTGTGATTAACACTTTTTAATGAAATTCTTCACCACTGTCCTCTCTATGGTAGAAATGGCTTTCATCAAGTACAGTAGTAATAGATACATATATGACTTAGAAATCAATATGTGAAAGCATTTAAATACATTTTAATACTATTGTAATGGTTTACAGCTCTTTGAAATTAGTAAAAACTTTTAGGAGTACAGAACAGTACTTTGAATCATTACCAAATCTATACTTGGTAAAAGTCAATAATTAAAATTAATACTGTACAAATTTACATAAATAATATAACTCACTGTACAGTAGCTAAAACAACCGGGTATCTGTGCAGGTGGGGGTCGATATGCTCCAAAATTTTACATGTGACCAGTGACAGACCTCATTTACCAAAATTTATCGTCCATGGTCTCCTATTGTTTCCCACAAATTATGCACAGATAGTAGTTTTAGCTACTATACAATAGCTAGTCTCTAACTATTTCCCACAAGATTAACATATTTCTCATCAATAAGTGTACAAAGTGATGGCAATTAAAGTACAGTACAAGGCATTTATCTTAAACTGGTTGATATCATAATGCTGTATACCCGGTATCATAAGTACAGTTGTACCCCACTTAACGCGGTCAATTGAACCCAGAGGGTCCCGCGTTAAGTGAAAACCGCGTTAAGTGAATAACAGAACATATGGGATTAATTCCAATAGAACCCAGCCCGACCCCCAAACTCCACTTTTTGACGACAAATAACTATGTTGTAGTAAAAATTCTATCTTAACTTTATGGTGGCATGAAAAACAAGTAATATAGAAGAGGTTAGGTTAGGAAAGATAAAGGTTAACATAGGAAAAATAAAGAATAGGTTAAAAAACGAAAATTTTTGAGGAACACTCACGGTAGTAGAAGAGATGGGTCGGCATACGGGGATGGAGGCTGGTTCCGAGGCAGAGGGCAGATTACTGCCCCTCAGGTGAATCACCATTACTAGGTGAATCACCATTACTAGGTGAATCAATATCACTGTCACTTACAGTTGTCATGGCTTCCCTGACAAATCCCTCAAAATCAACTTCACTATCACTATCACTGGCTTGGGCTGGCTGTGGTGGGTTGCGGGCGAAGAACTCGGTTATGCTTTGCTGACGGCGTGGCCTTGAGGGATGAAACTGCCGCGGCTAGGTCAAGCGTCGTCTCTCCTCCCTCCCTCCCTCCCCGGGGTAGTCACGTCATAATACTTTAAGCCAATTACAGCTAGCAGCAGAGGGGGGTAGGGCTGCATGGCCAATCACAGTCCGAGACATCATATGACGTCAGTGATAACGCAACAAAGACACACACTGCGCAACCTTACCGCGCCGCTTACCCAAGCGGATGGAGGAGGAGGGAGAGGCAGGCAGGCAGGCGGGCGGGTGGGTGGCGCGTGGGCAAAATCTAAAAATAGCATCCGAGCCGGACACTCACCGCGTATATGTGGAAAAAACCCGCGTTAAGTGAAAGTTCAGCTTTGGCAAGGCACCGCGTATATGCGAAAACGCGTTAAGTGAAAGCGCGTTAAGCGGGGTAAAACTGTAGTAAAAATAAGGTTCAACAATACAACAGTGCACAACAATTACAAACAAGAATAAAGCTCTTGAATAAAATATTGTGTTAATATGAAAGATTTTCTTTACCCAATTTCCTGTTAATATGTTTTCTATCAATAAAAAACATCCTTCAAACATACTGTAATTAGGGACCCCATAAATGTGACAATTTCAAGACTACTGTATGTAAAGAAAATAGGACTGTATGTATATCTGTTCTGACTTAACAAGATACTTTCCTCCTTTTAGGAATGGTTTCACCACTTGAAACAGAAGGACCGAGAGCATTCATTGACAGTTCGACAGGAGTCTATTATAATAAAGCTGAATTTAAGTTAGCAAAACTCGAGAGGTATGGCAGTTTCAAGTAATTTGGTCAGCTGCTGACTTCGTGGGTAGGATGTGTGATATTTTTAAAATAACATTAAAGAAAATACTGTATTATTATTTTGTTCTTGTTTGTAAGTATCATTTCAGTTTAATGTATACTTGCAGCATTTATTGCTCTGTCGTCTGATTGTCTAGTATGCCAGCATCTAGCAGCTCAAGCTCTGACCTCGGTTGATCTGACTATGTATTTTGTGTCGGCGTTTATTTCATTATTAGGATAAAACCACCATATTATATTATGTTCATTGTTGTTTCTTCTTTGAATTGTTACAACATTTGCTTTTGTGTTATTTCAGATATGTAGTGAAATGAGTCAAGTAAAGCTTGGATGCAGCAAACAAGTGTTTTATTTACCACAATTTACTTGACTCATCTAAGCTTACCATGGAGAAGCTACTAAAACCCACACGTCTGGATATTGATCCTAACTTGCCTACAGCAGCCAAGGAGTGGAAGCACTGGCATCACACATTCATAAACTTCATTGAGGAGTGTGGAGAAAATGCTTCTGACAAACTCAGAACTCTGGTGAACAGTGTATCGCATACTGTTTATGAATTTATTGAGGAGTGTCCAACCTTTGAAAATGCCATACCTATGCTAGTAAAAGTGTGTGTGAAAACTCCCAACGAGACATTTGCAAGACACCTTTTAGCTACATGGTGGCAGCAGCCTGGTAAGACCCTTGATGAGTTTCTAAGAGAACTACGCAAAATCAGTAAAGACTGTAACTTGAAACCAGTTACTGCGGAACAGTAACGTGAAGAATTAATCCATGATGCCTTCATCAATGGTATTTCCTCACCACTCATCTGGCAATGTCTTCTGGAGAACAAGACACTTGGCTTACTGAGCCTATAATCAAGCATACTCACTTGACCTGGCCCAACGTAATGCTGATGCTTACTCATCACCAAGTGCCACACTGCTGCACTAGTTGTACCTGAGCAACCCCAGACAAAAGAAGAACTACCCCATGAGGATCATACACTGTCTACACTGCTAGGAAGAAATGTTACTTCTGTGGCGGTGCGTTTCACATTAGAAACAAGTGCCCGGCACGTGATGCTACCTGCCATACTTGCAGCAAGAAAGGGCATTTTGTTAAAGCCTGTCGGTCAAAGACATCCGTGAGTACTACTGCTACATTGTACAATCCTATTGTTCTTGCTATTACAACTGCATTTCCTCAGAGCCTCTCACATGCAGCCACTGAAGTCACAGTAAATGGACATAAACTGAAGGCACTAATTGATTCATGTAGCTCTGATAGTTTTATAAGTGAAAGCACTGCAAAAAAATTTAATCTGACAGTGTCTCCATCAGTCAAGGAGATCTCTGTGGCATCAATGTCATTAAGCACCATATCTTCAGGGTTTTCTAATGTAACTTTGGAGCTCAATGGCCAAACGTATACATTTACCAGCCTTGGAGTATTAAAAGACTTGTGTTGTGACCTGCTTTTGGGCCAAGACTTTCAGAAACAACACAAAAGTCTGAAAATTCGAGTATGGAGGATATAAACCAGAGCTCACAGTTGCTGGTACCAATTCAGTTCAGTCTGTGCACTCTCAGTAGCTTTGATGGATGAGCCATCACTTTTTCCAAACCTGCCACCAGAATGTTAACCCATTGCAACCAAATCGCGGCGCTTCAGTAAGGATGACCGCTTGTTCATTAAGCAACAAACATCTCGCTTACTGTCAGAAGGTATCATTGAAGCAAGCTCATCTCCATGGCACACCCAGGTTGTGGTGAAAGATCCTCTTAACAGACACAAGAAGAGACTCTGTATTGATTACTCTCAGACCATTAATCAGTATACGGAACTGGATGCTTATCCACTGCCGAGTATAGATGACATGGTCAATAATCTTGCCAATTAGTGTTTTCTACATTCGACTTGAAAAGTGCCTATCACCAAGTTCAAATCAAAGAATCTGACAAGAAGTATGCAGCTTTTGAAGCTGATAGGAGACTATCAATTCTGTAGAATACCATTTGGTTTCACAAATGGAGTTGCTTTTTTTCAACTTTTGATGGACAAGCTTGTGGAAGAAGAAAATCTCAAGCATATTTTTCCCATACTTGGACAACATTACAACGAACATCTTCGGAAATATCTAAAAGTCGCTGAGCGCAGAAACTTGACACTCAATGAATCTAAACCCATGAAATTAGTATCCACCATCAATGTTCTTGGCTATTGTGTAAGGAGTGTTACCATAAAGCCAGACCCTGAGAGGATGTGTCCGTTCCAAGAATTGCTGCCACCCACAAACGTAGGATCTCTGCGGAGGGCACTGGGAATGTTCGCCTATTATGCCAAATGGATCCCCAATTTCTCAGACATGATTCAACCTTTGGTAAGAAGTAAGACTTTCCCACTGGGCAAAGCAGCCTTGACAGCATTTGAACTCTTAAAAAAGCGACTTGTGGATGCAACTCTACGATGTCGATGAGGACCAGCCATTCGTAGTGAAGTGCGATGCTTCAGAAGTAGCTATTTCAGCAGTCTTGAACCAAGGTGGCCGTCCTGTTGCATTCATGTCCAGGACTTTGCAGGGAAGTGAGTTACATTACCCAGCTGTAGAGAAAGAGGCTACTGCCATTATAGAGGCAGTGCGTACATGGAGCCATTTCCTAGCCAGGCGTCATTTTGTGCTGATCACTGACCAACACACCGTAGCATTTATGCTAGACAGCAGAAGGCGAACTAAAGTAAAGAATAATAAAATCCAAGAATGGAGGTTGGAGCTTGCATCCTTCAGCTACACCATACGGTATTGCCCCAGAAAAGAAAATGTGGCTTCTGCTACGCTGACCAGAGCACTTTGCTGTTCAACATTGCCTGCATCTACTCTCACTGAAATCCATAATGGACTCTGCCATCCTGGAGTGACTCAGCTCCTACACTTTGTGAGATCAAGAAACCTTCCATACTCAACAGAAGACGTAAAAAGA